ACAAACACAAACACACACACACACACACACACACAAACACCCACACACACACACACACACACACAAACACCCACACACACACACACACACACACACACACACACACACACACACACACACACACACACACACACACACACACACACACACACACCGACACACACACACCGTGGGCAGCGGGGGGGGGTTTGGGCATGCACTGGAGCCCTTAAACACTTCATTTCCAGGTTAGGGGTGGGGGGAGCCCCTAGAACAATGCGAGAGGGCGGGGGCAGTGGGTGGGTAAGGGATGGGGCAGCGGGCGGGGGCAATCGGGGGCAACAAAGGGCGGCGGTCGGGCATGCGCTGGAGCCCTCAAAACACTTCTGGGGACAGTGCGAGGGCAGCAAGGGCAGCGGTGGGCGGGTAAGGGGTGGGGCAGCGGGGGGGGCGGGGGCAGCGGGGGCAGCGGGGGCAGCGGGGGCAGCGGGGGCAGCGGGGGCAGCGGGGGGCTTGGGCATGCACTGGAGCCCTTAAAACACTTCATTTCCAGGTTAGGGGCAGGGGTGAGGCGTGAGTTAGCTTCGAAGGCATGGGAAAGCCGGCGGGGGAAGCGGGGGCAGCGGGGGCAGCGGGTGGGGTTTGGGCATGCACTGGAGCCCTTAAAACACTTCATTTCCAGGTTAGGGGTGGCGGGCGGGCAGCGGGGGGGGGCGGGGGCAACAAGGGCAGCGGTCGGGCATGCACTGGAGCCCTTCAAACTTCATTCCAATTAGGGGTGGGGGTAAGAGGTGACTTACCTTCGAAGGCATGGGAAGGCGGGCGGGGGAAGCGGGGGCAGCGGGGCAGCGGGAGGGAGGGGGGGTTTTGGAGCCCTTAAAACACTTCATTTCCATGGGCATGCACTGGAGATTTTAAAACACTTCATTTCCAGGTAACAGGGAAGGGTCCTGGGGCCATGAGCTGGAGCCCCTAAACGAGGGGCGGGGGCAGCGAAGGGAGGGCTCGGGCATGCCCTTTCAAATCATCTGATAGGGGCATGGGGCCACGGGGCCATGGGAAGGGTGCATGGAGGGGGAGGGTGTGTGGGTGGTGGCAGCCATGTGAGACATGGGGCCATGAGCTGGAGCCCCTAAAAGAATGCCAAAACATCCATGAGGTGTGGGTGGTGGCAGCCATGTGGGATCCTGGGGCCATGAGCTGGAGCCGGGGTCGAGGGCATGGAGGCATGGGGGCCATGCGATGGAACGGGCGGAGCGGGCGGAGTGGCGGAGAGAGCGGCAAGACTATGGGTCTTCACTAGCGCCTCCCCCGCTAGGGTCGGCGGAAAACACACAAAACTGACAGAAATGACAAAAATGACGGGCGTGACGGGGAAAAAATCCCATAGAATTTGAGCTGGCCTGCTATCATCAAGAGAACCTCGAAAATGAGAAATGACAGAAATGACAAAAAATGACGGGCGTGACGGGAAAAAACTCCCATAGAAGTTGAACTGGCCTGCTATCATCAAAAAAACCTCGAAAATGACAAAAATGACAAAAAGGAGAGGGTCCGCGCCGGGTTCGAAGACGTGGAACATGCAAGGGGCCGGCGCCCAGAAAATTATTTTTCAGGATCCCCGGTCACCTTGTCACCGTTGTCACCCTTATGCATGTCAAAAAAAGTGGGGTTCGAAGGGATGAGCTCGCCTTGAACATGCAAGGGGCCAGTTTTGTCATTTTTGTCATTTTCGAACATGCAAGACCATTTTGGTTTGTTTTTTTTTTAATTCGCTGCCCGAGTCCGTCGCGCGTCATTTCCGTCATTTTTGTCACTCCGGTTGGCCCGTCACCTCCGTCATTCCGTCATTTCCGTCGTCTTTGTCACCCCGGTTGGCCCGTCACCCCCGTCATTCCGTGATTTCCGTCATTTCCGTCATTTCCGTCATTTCCGTCATCTTTGTCACCCCGGTTGGCCCGTCACCCCCGTCATTCCGTCATTTCCGTCATTTCCGTCATTGTTGCTGCTTGCTTTGCACAAGATATACCCGGGACAAAAATGACAAAAATGACAAAAAATTAGAAGGCAATTTCCTTCAAAACAATCTTGTGTGTGATGCACTCATGTGCGCAGGGTGGGCAAAAATGACGGAAATCACAACATGGCAGGTCATGTTTCGGTGGAAACACGGCCTGCGGCGCCTTCTGCAAGGACAGTGTCGGAACAGGCCTTTTAGCAAACGGTAGAGTGCACAGGGGTCGTCGGGCGTGGCTCGCTTGCAGGTTGCCTTTTTTTTTGGTGCTTGTAGGCAGTTCTAAAAAGCCCTAAACCTCTTAAACCTTCCCCCTTAAGCCTCACGCCCAGGTCTTGAACAGGATTTCGTGACCACAGGCCCGGCGCCCTGCTCACAGAGTGTTTGTCGGTGCCATGTTCAGTGTGCTTGTAGACAGTCCTTAAGACCCTAAACCCCTCAAGCCTTAAAGTCTCCACGCCCAGGTCTTGAACAGGACTTCGCGACCACAGCTCGGCGCCGGGCTCACAGAGCGCTTGCGGGCAGGTTGTTTCGAGGTCTTCAACAGGATTTTACAGCCCAGTGCTCTGATCACAGGGTGCTGGTAGGCCGATTTTGATTTTTTGAAGACCCGCAACCCTAAACTAACGGAAGTAACAACAGTGCAGTCAGGGCCTTTTGTTCCGGTGGGAGTGACTCGTGTTGGCTGAGCTGACTGTTCACGTTGCTTTGCTTGCTCGAAAAGCCTCTTCGTAACAGCATAGGATCAGGCTGTAGGGCATTGAGGTTCCGGGTTTAGGCTCGCCTCACGCTCAGGCTTCTCTTTGTCGACCCCGTTTTGGGCTTCATTCTCCCGCTGCGCCGGGGCCTTTTCAGAGCGTGCTCACTACCTTTCACGTCTGTTAGGAGTGCTTGTGTTAGGTCTGATAGGAGCGCTTGTGGCAGACATGTCCGTGAAAGTGTGAGTTTTTGAGTGCCAAACAGCATTTCATTTCAGTGAAGGAGCAACCAGCTGTTAGCTTGCGCGCGCTCTCTTGAGTGACAGCATGGTGGACGTCGGAGCTGCCGCTGTGCAGTTTGTGCTGAGCCCTCTTGAACGTCAGATGTCGATACTAGGGGCTCGCGTCTTTCCAGAGTGTAGCTCACTTGCGGCATGCTTCAGACGCATGTCGCTCCTGATTCATCCAGACAAATGCAGTCATCCACAGGCTGCAGAAGCTTGCCAGATGCTCAGCAACCGATGGAGTTCTACAAAGATGATCCCACGGTGCAATATAGTCTTGGGCTCTTCCGTTCCAGCCCGATGTCGCTCGGTGAGAAGAACTTCCAGGCCATACTAGAGGCATCACGAGCTTCGGCAACTTCCACAGCAGCTCCGACTACCGCTGGCCCAGGACCTTCTTCTGCAGTTGCGCCTAGCCTAAAGTGGCGCCCGAAGCAGCTCCAACTGCCACACCCTTCCTCTGGAGTTGCGCCTGAGCCAGAGTCGGCGCCCGAAGCAGCTCTAACTGACACACCTTCCTCTGGAGTTGCTCAGACGCGGCGCTCGAAGCAGCTCCAACTGCCACACCTTCCTCTGGAGTTGCGCCGGAGCCAGAGGCGGCGCCCGAAGCAGCTCCAACTGCCACACCCTTCCTCTGGAGTTGCGCCTGAGCCAGAGTCGGCGCCCGAAGCAGCTCTAACTGACACACCTTCCTCTGGAGTTGCTCAGACGCGGCGCTCGAAGCAGCTCCAACTGCCACACCTTCCTCTGGAGTTGCGCCGGAGCCAGAGGCGGCGCCCGAAGCAGCTCCAACTGCCACACCCTTCCTCTGGAGTTGCGCCTGAGCCAGAGTCGGCGCCCGAAGCAGCTCTAACTGACACACCTTCCTCTGGAGTTGCTCAGACGCGGCGCTCGAAGCAGCTCCAACTGCCACCCCTTCCTCTGGAGTTGCGCCGGAGCCAGAGGCGGCGCCCGAAGCAGCTCCAACTGCCACACCCTTCCTCTGGAGTTGCGCCTGAGCCAGAGTCGGCGCCCGAAGCAGCTCTAACTGACACACCTTCCTCTGGAGTTGCTCAGACGCGGCGCTCGAAGCAGCTCCAACTGCCACACCTTCCTCTGGAGTTGCGCCGGAGCCAGAGGCGGCGCCCGAAGCAGCTCCAACTGCCACACCCTTCCTCTGGAGTTGCGCCTGAGCCAGAGTCGGCGCCCGAAGCAGCTCTAACTGACACACCTTCCTCTGGAGTTGCTCAGACGCGGCGCTCGAAGCAGCTCCAACTGCCACACCTTCCTCTGGAGTTGCGCCGGAGCCAGAGGCGGCGCCCGAAGCAGCTCCAACTGCCACACCCTTCCTCTGGAGTTGCGCCTGAGCCAGAGTCGGCGCCCGAAGCAGCTCTAACTGACACACCTTCCTCTGGAGTTGCTCAGACGCGGCGCTCGAAGCAGCTCCAACTGCCACACCTTCCTCTGGAGTTGCGCCGGAGCCAGAGGCGGCGCCCGAAGCAGCTCCAACTGCCACACCCTTCCTCTGGAGTTGCGCCTGAGCCAGAGTCGGCGCCCGAAGCAGCTCTAACTGACACACCTTCCTCTGGAGTTGCTCAGACGCGGCGCTCGAAGCAGCTCCAACTGCCACACCTTCCTCTGGAGTTGCGCCGGAGCCAGAGGCGGCGCCCGAAGCAGCTCCAACTGCCACACCCTTCCTTTGGAGTTGCGCCTGAGCCAGAGGCGCCGCCCAAAGCAACCGCGCCCAAAAATCCCAGACCCAAGGCGGTGGCCAAAGCTGGAGCCGCGCTGCCGCGCCTGTTCGAGGGCTTAAATGCAGAGTGGAAAGCAAAGCGCGCCCGCAGGAAGGTGCCAGCTGCGGAGAGCCCTGCTGCAGACCCGAAGCCCACCGAGCCCACAGAGCCCACTACTGCAGGACCAGAGCCCGCAGAACCCACTGCTGCAGACCCAGAGCCCGCAGCCGCAGAGTCCGGCAGCTGCTTGCAAGACGGCGTGCTCGTGGCGACCTCTCTTTTGTCAGCAGCTGCACCTGAAGACCCAGACTGACGATCCGCTGTGGTGAATCACAGAGTGCTCTTTGACAACGGCTTGGTGTTTGACTTTAGGACAAAAGCATCAAGCCCGTGAAGTGGAAGGACTTCATGAAGCGCCATCTCCCATGGTCGTATCAGGAACCCGCTTGGCTGGAGGAAGCCTGTTTGCGGAGCTGGTCGACACTTCGTGACTTGGCCAGTAGAAGAGCATCGAAGCAGCAGCCGCTGCAAGTGAGGTCTGCTTCACCACAACGAAGGCGCGGCGCCTGAAGACGCTTCTCGGCAAGCTCCAGGCCTACGACCGTGTTTCTCGACCAGGCTCACGATCTCGATGAAGCCAAAGTCTTGGCCAGGACTTGCAGGACATCCTGACTTCACCGAGACGATCTGGAAGATCTGCCCAGCGCAGTCTGGAAAAGACATCCTCCTGGCCTTTCTGCAAAGCCTGGCGGGCGTAGGCGAGGAGCACTTTGTCTCCTACCTGCATTCGGGCATATTTGTCCAAGAAGTCCGGCACCTTCACCGAAGGGTGCAGCCCTTTCCTTCGGCAAGCAGACGGCACGAGATTTCTCATAATCTCAGAGGTACCAAACGAGGACTTGTCTATGACTGCTCAAGCCCCTTGACCGAACAAAGGGAAGCGCAGTTACCGGCACGTGGACAAAATGAAGCGGGCAGCAGTTTCGCTCCTTCGGTGCTCCCGCTGATTACGTCCAACTTTGCTCCAAACCTCACAGTGGATGAACGGGCGGATAGTGCCGGGTCAGGGTGATCTCCTCTACGTCCTCTTCACGGACCTCTCCACGGAGTTGCCGCACAAGCGCTCGGACAGCAAATTGGCAGACGTGATTCGAAACGGCGAGTTCAACGCCAGCGGGTTCATGTGGCTCACCATCTTTTGCGACCTATTGACCTCGTGCAGCACACCCGCAACGTGGAGCCGCTGCTAGATCGCATTCGCGAGGTTACCCAGCGGCGCCTTGTGATCCGCGCCGAGTTTGCTTTCCTGGCTTGGATGCAGGACGTGCGGTACACTACCGTTGGAAAAGGCCTCCACAAAGTCCTTCGTTGAAAAGAGCGCTGAGTTTCCTCATGAACAGTCCCTTGTACACGCAGATGTGCTCTCTTCTCACGCAGCACGGCTTCAAGGAGCACCGCGTCCCCACCAAGAGGCTCTACATCTGGTCGATGGCGTGCGGATGTATGTCATTGCCCCCTCAGTGCACGAAGCGCCGTCCAACACTAGGTACCAACATGTATGTTTTGAGAGACTCAATCATGTTTCGAGATTGTTCCGCTTGCATGGAGCTGTAAATGTTGCAGAACCTGTTTGCAGCAGTTTTCGGCTGGGAGGGCCTAGCATTGACGCTGCAGCTCGTTGACACATCGACTGCGTGCGTGGACTCCTGCATTTAATTCTCCACGCTCTGCTTGGAGGCGAGGTTCTGCAGAACCACTGCAGGAATGTCGTGCCTATTTACGGCATCTTTAGCACAGCGCGACGGACTCCGAGTTTTGTTTCCCGTCGCGTCGCTTGTGGCTAGAATCGTGGTAGACAAGTCTTATCATACCGTTGGTGCGCAGCGATTCCCGAAGCTTCGCCTGGGCTTTGGGGGCTACAGGTTTGCAGAATTGCGTGGAGGGGCTCCGCGTTTTAATTCCCGCAGCTTCGAGGCTACAATCGCGGTAGACCAGTCTGAACATACCACTGGCGCGCAGTAGTTCCCGAAGCTTCGCTTGCAGGCTACAACAGCCTCTACAGGTCTACAAAATCGGCAGACACCTGCACTCTGAAGAAACTGCATCTTTGGGCTTGTATTTGTGATCGCGCAATTCGTTGTTGTAGGCAAATGGTTGCAATTGTTCGCCATCCAGGACATTCTTCTTCTTCGACCAGTCCTGCTGTGGCCTGCTGGGTGAACGTGCCCTAAACCCTTGCATTGTCTGTTTGTCTACTTGTTTGTCCAGTGCCTTGGGCGCTCCTGATGCTCATTGTGCCCCCACCCCTGCACGCCCCCTCCCGCGGTCCCACCAGCAGGGGGGGTTGCCAAGGGCTGGAAAAACTGCCTAGTCCAAGTTTTTACGTGGGGGCAGCGCAGAGCCTCTAATGGGAGGTCCCTGCAAAGGGCTGGTGCCTGTAAGGGTCTCTGGGGCGGGTTGGTAGGGGTTTAGGAGGGCAGTGAGGAGGCCTCTAAGCGTCCCTGGGGAGGACTGAGGAGGGAGAGGCCCGTGAGGGCCCCTGGCAAGGCGTAGGGGCAGTGAGAGGCCTCTAAGGGTGGACTGAGGGCAGTGAGAGGCCTCTCAGGGTCCTTGGAAAGACTCTGTGAGGGGTTAAGGGTCCCTTGAGGAGAGTTGGTGAGGGTTCACTAAGGAGGGGCAGTGAGAGAGGCCTTTGAGGGTTCTTTTGGAGGGTTTAGGGGCAGTGAGAGGCCTCTAAGGGTTTCTGGGGAGGATTGAGGGCAGTGAGAGGCCTCCAAAGGTCCCTGAAAAAGAGTCTGGAGGGGTTAAGGGTCCCTGGGCAGAATTGGTGAGGGTTCACTAAGGAGGGGCAGTGAGAGGCCTTTCAGGGTTATTGGGGAGGGTTTAAGGGCAGTGAGAGGCCTTGAGGGTAGGGTCCCTGATGGGAAGGACTGAGGGCACTGGAGAGGCCTCTAAGGGTCCCTGGTCTGTGAGGGGTGAAGGGAGAGTTGGTGAGGGTTCACAAAGGAGGGGCAGTGAGAGGTTGGCAAGGGTTTAGGGGCAGTGAGAGGCCTTTAAGGGTCTCTGAGAAGGGTTTAGGGGCAGTGAGAAGCCTTCAAGGGTCCCTGGCGAGGGTTGTGAGGGTTTAGGAGGGCAACCGCAGCCGTCATTTCCGTCATTTCCGTCATTTCCGTCATTTCCGTCATTTCCGTCATTTCCGTCATTTCCGTCATTTCCGTCATTTTCCAGATGTTTACAAGGCCCTTCCAGAGAGGCCTGCAAGGGCCTCCAGAAAACCCACCTGGATGACGGCCTTCCGTCATTTCCGTCATTTCCGTAATTTCCCCTGTTTTTCCGTGTGGCAGATTGGCAGAATCCCGCAAACCGACTCACCCACGCTTGACGTGCAGCAGCAGAGTCCACACGCCAGCTTGCAAAGTGAAAGAATGACAAGAATGACAGAAATGACAAGAATGACAAAAATGACAAGTCCAATTTTTTGCCGTATATTTTCGGAGCGTGCCCGTGTTTTCCAGCGACGTCCTCTTGACAATCAAATGTAAGTTAGAACAGAAGAAATTACAAAAATGACAGAAATGACAACAATGACAAAAATGACAAGTCCTATTTTTTTGGAGAAATTTTCCGACGCATGCTTGTCGATGCCTCTTGACTGTCCAAATGTAAGTCCAATGAAAGAATGACAAGAATTACAAAAATGACAACTCAAATTTTTCTGTAGAAATTTTCCGGCGCATGCCCGTGCTCGGCCACGCCCTCTTGACCATCAATTGCAGAATTGAAAGAACAAGAATGACAGAAATGACAAAAATCACAAGCTCAATTTTTTTTGAATTTTTTTGCGCAGACTTCGGCGCGGCGCGGACCATATGGACTTTCGGCGAGCCTCGGTGCGGACCATGTGGACTTTCGGCGAGCCTCGACGCGGACCATGTGGACTTCGGCGAGTCTCGGCAGCAGTTTGTCATTTCTGTCATTTTTGTCATTTTTGTCGTTCTTGTTGTTTTTTATTATTTTAGTTGTTTTTTGTTTGGAATAATGAAAAGAAACACATGAACCAGGCCGACACGGCCATACTCTCTCTTAAGAAGACACCTTTTTGACCCTCTAAAGGCAATTCACAGCCAGAGTGAATCATATCGAATTCCTGCACTTCTGACGCTCAAAAAACCAATCTCCAAACAGAGATGGAGCAGCAAGGCCACAGACTCAAAACAAATTTGCCCTTCAAGGCCAAAATAAAAAGTGGCGCGATCCGTCGAAAAAATCGCCCAGAAATGTCGTGTTGGAGCTTCGGGGTGAAAAAGGAGGGCGAAGCCCGGATAACTCCCGAAGCTCCAGGAGGGCATTTCTGGGCGATTCTTACTGCGAACACTTTTTTGGCCTATAGGGCAAATTTGTTTTGAGTCTGTGGCCTTGCTGCTCCATCTCTGTTTGGAGATTGGTTTTTTGAGCGTCAGAAGTGCAGGAATTCGATATGATTCACTCTGGCTGTGAATTGCCTTTAGAGGGTCAAAAAGGTGTCTTCTTAAGAGAGAGTAGTCGCAGCCGGGTTGCAGGTGCTCTTGCCAATGTTGCGTTTTTGCATGTCGCTCACAGTGTCTTTTTGCTCACATTGCACGTTAGTGCTCTCTGGCTGCAGCTAGTGTAGGTATCAGCAGTCAACTATGTCTGCTTGGCGACTCGTTGGCAGCACTCCGAAATGTTAGAGCCAATTTGGAATTGCCATGGCTTTGAACTGGCAAAGATCGTCTAGTCCGTTAAACAGGACTTATAGACTTATGTATAGACTTATGTACAGGTGTTGCGCAGCCAGTCTGCTCAGTTCACCGTGGAGTTGCTCACTGGATGGTCATATCCCTTGCGGGGCTCGATCTCCGGGCTCAGTCGGCATGTTGTGTGTGTCGGAAGACCAGTTAGAGGCCAATGGCAGTTTGGTCATCTTCTTCCCCGACAGTCAGGAGTCAGGTCAGCCGTCGCCTGCCCCTTACGACGTCTCGCGTACTGAGGCGGACACTGTGAGCATGCTGCGTCTGGCTCTTGCTCAAGCGTTGTCCTGCCCAGCGGGGTGTCCGCCTCCTTGCCGGGCATGCATGCGGAAATTGCACATGACCGAGTCCACCATATGCAGTGTCTCCGTAACACCCCCTTAGCAGGCACGACGGCGAGCCGACATTCGGACTTTGTGTTCGCGTGGGCGCTATTGGGTCGCTATGTGCATGAGCTTGCATGGCGAACGGCGGACCTGCAGGCAAGTCGGCCGGAGCCGTGCATTGCCTTCGGCGCCTCTCCGGTGGCGAAGGTTAAAGGGGTACGAACGTGGTCCATGGGGGTCCATGACGGTTGGAAACGTCCATGGGGGTCCATGACGGTTGGAAAATGTTGGAAACGTCCATGGGGTCCATGACGGTTGGAAACGTCCAAGGGGGTCCATGACGGTTGGAAAATGTTGGAAACGTCCATGGGGGTCCATGACGGTTGGAAACGTCCATGGGGGTCCATGACGGTTGGAAACGTCCAAGGGGGTCCATGACGGTTGGAAAATGTTGGAAACGTCCATGGGGGTCCATGACGGTTGGAAACGTCCATGGGGGTCCATGACGGTTGGAAAATGTTGGAAACGTCCAAGGGGGTCCATGACGGTTGGAAACGTCCATGGGGGTCCATGACGGTTGGAAAATGTTGGAAACGTCCATGGGGGTCCATGACGGTTGGAAACGTCCATGGGGGTCCATGACGGTTGGAAAATGTTGGAAACGTCCATGGGGGTCCATGACGGTTGGAAACGTCCATGGGGGTCCGGAAACGTTGACGGTTGAAAATGTTGGAAACGTCCATGGGGGTCCATGACGGTTGGAAACGTCCATGGGGGTCCATGACGGTTGGAAAATGTTGGAAACGTCCATGGGGGTCCATGACGGTTGGAAACGTCCATGGGGGTCCATGACGGTTGGAAAATGTTGGAAACGTCCATGGGGGTCCATGACGGTTGGAAACGTCCATGGGGGTCCATGACGGTTGGAAACGTCCAAGGGGGTCCATGACGGTTGGAAAATGTTGGAAACGTCCATGGGGGTCCATGACGGTTGGAAACGTCCATGGGGGTCCATGACGGTTGGAAACGTCCAAGGGGGTCCATGACGGTTGGAAAATGTTGGAAACGTCCATGGGGGTCCATGACGGTTGGAAACGTCC